TATACATTTCACTTTGCCCACCCTGATTCTATATAATTCTTAAATGGTTGCACTCTAACTAATGTAAAATAAATTGGAACTGTTAAGTTCTGTCACTTGTAAAAATAGATCTCTTAAGCCACTATTAACCCATTTTCTCCTCCCACAATGGGATCGCCTCACAGGTTTGCACCTCAGTAATCAGGCTTGTAAACTGAAGTCATGTTTAACCTTCCAATTGATGAAAGAATGCTAAATGCAAGACGTGTTGGTGAGTCAAATCATGTGCTATGACAAACAGATGTCTTTCTCCACTTGGTGGAGCACCTCTGCAACAACAACAAAAACTCCCGATGATAGTTATAATCTAATTTGACCATAATTGCTGGGGTATATATCCTTGATGAAATTAATTATGAGAGGGGAAATAGGATAATCATAGGGAATGTGCATTCTCCTTGTTGTCTACAGCCCCACTGTGTGTGAACAGACAGGCAAAGAACAAGGCAGCTTCAACAAGGGCTTATGTAGCAGCATTGACAAAACAGTTTTCATTTTTCCTAAGACCCTTGACAATAAATACAATAAATCAGTCCTTACTATGTGACCGACACACACACCCCATCTCCATCCCTATTGAATTCTGCAGCAAGAATCACTTTGAAATCTACTTTCTGTCTGTCAGTGTCCTTTTTGGAACTTAGCATAATCTTATCTGCTCTCGCTTGACAGCTCCTTGAACCAGCAGCTGCCCATCTTTTTAGGCAATTGGGAGTTCAAGGCAGCCTTCTCAATTAGGATTACCTCCTCTATCCATTGGTTTCCAGTATGACGTGCCTTTTCCATTAACAAAGAGTGTTCTTTATTGTTTCCCATGGAGCCACAGTGATGTGCTGAAGACTGATCTTCTGTTCCAAAGAAAACCTGTATTTTTCAGAGGTCTAAGAGATGATGTGCTGCACTCCTTATATCTAAATCCTTCTTATCCCCAAAATAACAAAACAAAGAGTGTCAGGTGGAATGATTCCCTGCCCCAGTTGTTCCATCTCATTCATAGGCATTGAGGTAGGTTTAGCTTGCAGAAAGGAAGCTACATACAACAAGGTGACATACAACCATCTCTAAAAGTCTGAAAGGATGTCATGTAAAGATGAAGTGAGCTTTGTTTCCACTATTCCGGAGGCTAGGATGTGAACCAGTAGATTAAAATTATAAGACCTGCAATTCCCACTAAACATTGAGGAATTATTGATGGTAAGCATTGTCCAACAGTAGAACAGAAACCTCTCCTTCTTTGGAGATCTTTAAACAGAGTTTGGATGGACATCTTTTAGGAGTGTTTTAGCAGGTGGACTAACTGGCCCATGAATTCCCTTCCAGATCAATCGATTCCACAATCTTCTCCCAAAAAAATCTTTCCAGTGTATAATTCAAATGTAATGTTCAGGGAGTCTCTTCCCACTGAACACAGTCAAGGCCATCTAGAAAAATTGACCCTTCCTTTGCTCATTTGGAGATGAAGTCCACAGAGACCAAGAGCTCTCCCATAGCTGTTGACTAAAACTAGATATCTAAGGACTTTGCCTATTAACATTCCAGGCCTGAACAACCATGTTCTTTAGGTGAGCCACCTTGTGATTCATCACCAGCACTGCCTTTTCTTCACATCTGTATGCAGAGCAGAAAATGGAACATCTTCTCACATCTTCCACATCTGGAATCCTGTACAGCTCAGCACAGCATTGTACTCCATGCAGAGCAGCACTAAAGCTGGCCATTTACCTGGACTTACTATAGAGACACTACAGCCTCACCTTCATGGTGATTCTGTATTTGGTGAAGAGCAATGTGAGTGGGGAAAATATTTGGATATTTCCTTGTAGCAAGATACAAAATCATTGCATCATCTACTGAGGACAATAATAGCTCACACAACATGTGCATATGTATTAACAATAAAGACT